TTTGTATGTATGGGTTCCATCTCGTTTCGTTCAGTACATTCCTCTTGATCCTGTGGCACGTACCGGTTATGTTTTGTGACTTTTCCTTTCAGGATAGTATGGGACTTTGCGTCTAACTGAGTAACAGCAGAGAGACATTATGGAGACATTCTGTATTTTTGGCATGTTTTGTTTCCATTGAGTAGTACTGCAAACTTTTTGTTTGTTTCAATATAACCACGGACTTCGGGTGACTCAAGGAAGCTTCACATCTTATACAACAGAACGCTGTGATTAGGATCAACTCTTTTGATTGTCGTTCTTTTGGGTCACTTTTGAGTTCAAACGGAACATTTTAGTTCCAGTCATTGTGCAGATTTCGACAAAATAACTTCAATAAATTTGTCCATGGAAGCCCAATGTTGATTTGGAAGAGATTATTGGGAAGAGGATGCACAGTGTAAGATCAAAACCAAGGTTTGGACTGAAGAATATCTGTCTATGTGGGTTGGATACACGCCCTTACCCGAATGAAACCAAAACAAAGTGATTGGGTAGAACGAAAGTTCTGAAATTCATTATAAATTTAAGTGTACATTATTACCCTGACAAATATGACCACCCAGCTATTCAACCAATATTTGTTCACTTCATCAAATCTAAGTTAAAATAAATGAGAATTTGATAACGGATGCGAGAAAATTGCCAGTCTCAACAAATAAATACTATTCTATCCTGTCTGGATATACCACACAAAGATTCGTTCAAGAGATAATATCCCGTTGCTTTATAACACAGAGTGTTTCCAATTCTAAAAGAGTGCCTCAATTCGCAATTAAAAATGCGCAATTCCAGTCAATACAAGCAACACAGTAAAAAGGAGAAACAAACCAATATGGCTGTCGCCAAGACTAAGTATCAAGTAAAACAACATAAATGCAGTTCAGGAAGAAACACGGAAACTTAGCACAGGCGTAAGAAAAACAAAAACTATAGTAAAATACAAATATTACCAACTCAAATGGAATCAAAAAGATCAACAAAATGCACAGCTAAAGGAATCAATAGAGACAAATTGTAAGTGTATACAAGGAGAGATTTTCACACACAAAGCATTCCAAATGGGTCTTACACACAGAGTCCTATAGTTTTTGGCCATACGTATTACAGAATCAGAAACAATAGAAGATATGGGCATTTAGAATAAAATTCATCTGCTTTGTTGTGGAGTCAGTACACAAGGCTTAGAGACACTTAAATACATACCTCCATCCATCGGCAAAATAAACGAAAAGCATTTTGTTGTCTCATTGCAACATTAATAAGGCTACTGCGTGGAGCAAGTTGGGTGGTTCGATTTTGGTCAAGCATAAAAGTTCATCACTCTATAGAGGTATGTAATAAGCAAAAAAGCCCCATTCAGTTAGACAGAAACTCAGTCGTAACTCGTAACCCGGTGTTGTCGTCCTAACGGTGATTTATCGCTTGACTCAGACGAGCAAACTTGACTCACACATGAAAAACCTTATTCTCGCTAGTCAAAACATCAAATTCCGTTTTAATAAGACCCTAAGCTAATTTAGGTCAAATATTTCTACGAAATACGAGTAAATTTCGAGGGTTGAAAAGCTCCTAAATTTGTGGATCTGAGATTTAAAGTAACCTAGTTATTTTATCGCAAACTTCCTTCTGAAAGTTCACGATTATGAGAAAATTTATGGGAATTTCATGGAACGACGAGATCGAAAAAACTCTTAGCACATATAAGGTCCGATTAGAGCATTCCAATCAACGTTACTCACTTGTTCTGTGCAGTTAAGCCAATTGACTTTTTGAAAACACAGGAAAGACACTCATACAGTTTGTTTTAAGAGAAATGGGACGCTTTGTGGACGTTATCTCTAGACGGTTAGTGATTGGGAAGATGCCCCTGGTATATATTAGGCCAACCATGTTTTTCGTTCCTGCCTGAGAAAAAGACATTCCATGTTTTCCATAGAATTTGATCACTTGGGTGGACCTATTGCGGCTAAGATGGGCGTCAATATAATCCCATGTAAAAAGAGACGTTAAAATTCCTCCTGTCAGTCACGCAAATAATAGGGTGCATGATGATACGTTCAAGTTCACGTGCTGTGTTATCAATTATTTGGGCACCAGAATTAAACTGTCCATATAAATATTTTGGTAATAGCGAAATGTGTGGAAATTTTTGACTGCCCTATCTCGTGTTATTTTAGACAATGTAAAGTTACGATAGCTGTTGTTATTGTAACGATTCGCACTCATACCCATTTTAAGTAGTGAAGTTAGTGAGAGGATTTGGGAGTCTGACCGTTACATTTATGGCACAACGCGAGAGCGGTTTAACTAAAGAATAAAGAATCGTACCATGGTGAGTCTTGTTCGTAATCATACGGCCCTTAAAGCTAAGCACACAATAAATGAGAAGACTTAAATAAGCCCATGAACACTTTGATAAGGTCAATATAGATCAACTAGAGAACAATGAATGGAGTTGACATGACATCTTGAACGTATTCTGTAGTGTTTCCTGAAGGAAACATCATGGCTGTCACTACAGGGCAGGTCAGAATAAGCGGTGATGAGGCAGTAGAACTGTGTTCTTGTTCAATATTAGCACATTTGTCTCGGCTACTATAATAATAGACATCCAGTCTTTAGTAATAAGGATAATAGGTTGGTGAACCTGTGTCAATCTTAACAGATTGCCTTCCAGTGGAGATCCAGCCTCTCCTTGAGAATATTTACTGATGGGGTTGATACCACTTGTTCGGGTAAGGCGTCCCAGTCATTGACTACTCGATGAGGAAAATGGGACCCCACTTTAAGTTTATTAGATCGCGTTTTGTTAACCTTCTTTCTATGACCTCGGAGATTATTAGTGCTGGAGGGAGCAAAAGGATAAGATATATTAACACACAAATCATAATTAAAGATACTTTGCGCCATACGATACGACGAGGAGAAAAGGTTTAGGGGTTTCAAACGCTCATCGTAAGGAAGTTTAGAAAGACCCTTCACTAATTTCCTTCCCACATGCTCGGCGAAGTGATCGTAACGCACGATAACCTTTGGCAGCAGCTGAGTTGACGTGCATATTTGTTTGCAAGTCATGACATATTATTACTCCTAAGTCTATGTACTTGGACGCGTGGAAGATATGTACCATCAACAGTATAATGATAACTATTACCGTGTCCGATGTGAATGAGTACACTATTCCCAGAATTAACTTCCAAGCCCCAACCTCGAGCCGATCTAATTAATTCATTTAAGTCAGCTTGGAGGTCAAAATGATCGGCCTCACTTCTTATTGTTCTGCACATTTTGGCATCATCCGCAAACAGTAGTGCCAACGATCCAAGTAATAGCGGTAATTTATTAACGTAGAAAGGGAAAAGTAGAGAGTCTAAGGTGGTGTCATGGGGCACACCTCTTTTGACGGGCTTCCATTCGCATAACGTTCCACTGACCCTCATCTTGTGTCTGCGGTTACATAAGAAGTTTCCTATCCGTTCCTGTACAGCACCTATTATTCCGAAGCTCGAGAGCTTCTGAACAAGATTTAAGTGTGAAACCTTGTCAAACTCTTTGCTAAAATCGGTGAACATCACATTGAGAGACAGACCGTTATCTAGGGTCTCTGTCCAGTCCTCTCTCGTAATAAGTAAGTTAGTCAAGCATGAACGCTTATTACGAAACTTATTTTGCTCCCCCACGAGGGGTAACTAGCGTAAATGAGTAAGTAACCAAAGCTTTTGAGGCTTCATTTGGCATATGAGTTTCGATTTGCGAGTCCTGGCCTCCAGCTTAAGACGAATATGTTATAACGAATTCAACGAAAAGAAGCCGAAGTGGTTAAATGTGACACTGACCTACTTTATGAAATCTGACTAAGACGCTTCAACCTATTTCCGTCAGCTTACTACAGATTATGAGGTGGTATTATACTGACTAACCGTACAGTGAATTGAGATGCCGGGAGAAATATTTCTTACTTTTTTTCTTCGCCTGAGCCTGGTCTTCTAAGAAAGGCCGTAACCACGATCAAATCGTTCACATCTGAAGTTCCGTTTTTACCGCTACACTATTGATGGTAAACCTATTCCATGCGTTCAAGAGCATAAAGACTTAGGAGTAATATTAAGTCATGATTTAAAAACAGCTACGCATTGCAAAGCAGCCGCTGTCAAAGGTTTTCGTGCGTTATGGTCACTTCGCCGAGCGTTCAAATCTTTTGACGAGGAAACGTTTCGAACCTTATATCCCATATATGTTAGACCACATTTAGAGTACTTTATCCAAGCAGCTAGCCCGTGTCTGGTAAAGGATACTAACTCCCTTGAGCGTGTCCAGCATGTGGGAACGAAATTAGTGAAGGTACTTTCTAGACTCCCTTACGATGAGCGTTTAAAACGCCTAAATCTTTTCCCCTTGTCGTATCATAGGACACGAGGTGACCTTATACTGGCATCTTTAATTATGATTTGGGTGTTAATATGTCTTATCTTTTTGCTCCCTCCAGTACTAATAATCTCCGAGGTCATAGAAAGAAGGTTCATAAACCACGATCTAATAAACTTAAAGTGGGGTCCCGTTTTTCTCATCGAGTAGTCAGTCATTGGAACGCCTTACCCGAACAAGTGGTATCAGCCCCATCAGTGAATACTTTCAAGGAAAAGCTGGACCTTCACTGGAAAGCAATGTGTCAGGATTAACACAGGTTCATCAACCTACTATCCTTATTACTGAAGACTGAATTACTTGAATTCTCTACCAAAACGCGTAATATCGGTATATTCTGTTCATACATTCAAAGCATATTTAGATCTTCACAGCACTACAAATCCCAAGGATTAATATAGGTCGACTGACCTATCTTCGCTACTGAAGACTGAGACAAAGTTGTAAGGGGACAGAAGAAAATTTACTAATAAATTCCATTTTATGAATAATATCAAACTTTTAGTCTAATTCTTTACGACAATCAATACTGAATGGTAAAGTTTTATGAAAATACATTGGCCAATATACTTCTTATTCTGCGTCAGACGTTACGTGATCACATCTACGTATTTAGTACTCTGTTTGAATTTGTACGCGTACAGTTTGTGAACATGAACCTAAGCGATATAGGAAATGTGAGCGATACGAACGGGACCATTACAAACCTGGAGTTCAATCTAGATTCCATGATTACTAATTCAGCACTGTTTCTCCTGGCTATAGTACCTATTTATATAGGTTCTTTCCGTTCAATAACTAGTAAGAAGTCAACTGATGAGATAGAAGTTGTATCAGGTAAAGATGCAGCACTGTTTCCATTTCTCGCCAGTGCTGCACTTTTCGGGATTTACGTCGTCTTTAAGGTTTGTCAGTGTATATAGTTCTACTATGTTAAAGTTCATTCCTATTCAGTACATCAACTCCGTTATGAAGTTATATTTCTCTGTTATGGGTGCTTGTGCAATATCCCGGTTCCTGTCGTAAGTACTTATTCTGCTAACTGTATGTGTAGACCCATCTTTCGCCCGTATATGCCGGGTTGTGTAAAAAATATGCGGTTCAAGTTTGAGTTTTCAAGAAGTTTAGAAAACTCAGATGGTTCCGAATCTCAATGGAACTTATTGGGTAGGTAGCCATGATTGTCTACATCTTACCTGATAGACAACTATGATTTTTCAGTTGAGTCGAAGGATTTCATAGGCACTGGCATCGGTATTTTGCTTGGCACTTGGTACTACTTTTCAGGAGTAAGTCAAAATAAATAGCTTTATTAGGTAGCATTGGATTGCGAACAATTTTATTGCAGTGACAGTTGCTATTTTGGCCATCGAATTCATAAGGTTAAATAAGTTCGTAAATGGCATATTACTTCTTTGCGGGCTGTTCGTATATGATATATTTTGGGTAAGTTAGATTTCGTGCTATACTTTAAGTCCAGGTGTTTGGAACTGGTGTCATGATGGCTGTCGCAAAAAACCTAGATATTCCAATCAAAGGTAAGTGGTCTTATATCTTTCGTCAAACACAGATCTGTATTTCCTGAGGTTTATTACTACGTTTTACTTGATACCATTTTATTATATCACTAATGAACCCTGAGTATAATCTCGTTTCGTTAATTTGCCATTAAGACTAAACTAGTTCATTTAATGAAGGTAATCAAATTGCTGAGATTGTTGTATTTAACTAGTTAATATTGTAGTAATTAAACCAAGTAATTACCCTTGAAAAGTTTCAAGGTGACCTTAGCAAATTTCCAAGTTTTCCATTTGACCACTTTTATTGATACACCAAATGAGTTGTAAAGTGCAATAGTCGTTTGTATGACTATCGGTAAGTTTACTGGAATTAACTTAGTATATGCTTGTACGTTGGCAAGCTTTCAATAATAATTGTTGATAATTTTCCCGTCACCAATTAATTAATTATTTATTCAAACACAGAAATTGGTTCAAAAAGGCAACAAATAGATATGCACCACACAAGTCATTTGATTTGTGTGTGGGCTGTGATACTGCCCGGGTGCCCAGATCGATGGCCTCCAAATGCCCTGGTACGGCCGAGGGTGGGGAGAGTCAGTTCTCCCTCTCCATGTGCTTTCACATGGCCGTGCGTATACAGCCACTGTCAGGAAAGTCGTACTCACAGCCTTCTTGTGACGGGGGTGTTGTTTATGAAACTGAGAGGATAAAAAGCGAATGTTCGGCGCTCTAACCAAGTTGGTGGATATAGAGGATCCACCTAACGAAGTTGGAAAACCCTGGTTCCAAACCAGTGGTGCACATGGACTCCTGGATCCTAGGGAAACAAATGGCGTATGAACCAATTATTGGCTACCGGCTACCATGAGACTGCATCTCCTTACGTTGCTCCTTGTGAATCAAACATTTAGGTCGAAGGCTCCGAGTGTGGCCCCTTAAGAAAACCATCTGCTTCGATCTGAACACCCGGGCAGTATCACAGTCCATACACAAATCAAATGACTTGTGTGGTGCATATCTATTCAGCGCCTCTTTATACCAATACTTATTTGTGTTCAAATAAAATAATAAATAATCACTCATCGTCTTCAGAATCCCATTTTTAGAAAACCTGTATATCTCTGATTTTTATTAGTTAGGTTTCTTACCCAGAAGTCTAATCAACTTGAGCGGACGCTGAGTTTGTGGTATTAGTATTCTACTGAGAAAATTAGGGATGTCCATGTGTTTCCTGTGTTTCGGAAGTAAGAATGCTTTAAAACTGAACCATTATAACTGTTATAAAAAGTTAGGGATGGTTGAATGTTTAACTATTATATCAACCGCAATGGATAGAATATCCTACTGGATCTGAAAGTTCTTTTATTTCTCGCTTACTCAATCTGTAGTCAAGCGTTGACCTAGTGGTTGATGGATTCGTAGGTATCTTATAGCATATGTGTAGTACACTTAACGAATGAGCAATAATATTGTTAACCTGCACTGCCTGTAGGGATTGGGTTGTCACACCTACCGAGTTACTGTCCACTGCATTTTGATGTCAAACTTCAAATACTAGAAGTGATTCAACCATATACTCTTGTCTGAAGACCTATTGCTAGTGTGCCAAATCCTTGACTCCCCAAATTGATCATCTGGATCTCAACCCTTCACTTCTTATGTAAATATATGTTTACTTGCACCTGGTTGCATCGTTATCGTAGCTTAACCGTAAGAAATTACTCTGGAAATAATGTAACGATGATATGTGTGTGGGTTTCATAATAAATACATCTGAGGTTGCCCATCTGTTCATGTTTATCCACTAACTTAAAAACAGTAGTAGCTTAAGTACAAACATTTAGTGTTCCACCTTCCTAGAAGTTAGGATTGCATTGCATGCAAGCATTTCTGTAATATTAGGATGGTTATTTTGTTAACATCAAGTAAGCTATATCGCTAATTATTTATAGTCTATTTTCGTTCATTTAAACATTGTGATAAAATGTTGAATGTTGTTACCTTATCTTTTTAGTTACTTTTCCGCGTGATTTTCTTTCACATGGATTATTCGGCAAACAGTTAGCCTTGCTTGGTCTTGGTGATATAGTTGTTCCAGGAATATTTATCGCCATGCTTCTTAGGTTCGATACAAAGTAAGCTAGTTGCCATCTTTGCAATCATACAAGAACTCTCAAAATATGTCTTTTCAAATTGAGTGCATTTTGGCGCTGTTTTATATATTCCTTTGTCCATAAAGCTTTGTTAGCTATTAAGGGTGCAAGTGTAATGACAGCGATGTTGCCTACCAAATAGAGGGGCGGGGTCAGAAAATGTCCACCCTAAAATTGCGCACCTCGCTTTATCGCACGGATATCCGTCTTCGGCGGTAAGGTCTCAAGTACGGAGCTAACATGAAAATTACTCACAAAATGGGCGTGTGTGACCGACCTCAAACACTTGTCCCTTGGGCACTGCGGACACGCCTTCAGGTCACTAAGATAACCTCTAACCCGATTTCCTTTTCATGTACCTCCAGAAGAACCCTTGCACGGTGTGGGCAACCAAGAAGTGATAACTGTCCTCATACCTCTAACAGCACTCAAGATCACTGTATTCATAATCAATCACTCTCTTCAATTCCCATTATTCCTTCTACATAGACTTTCAACACTAAACTTCCTCTTTTGTCCTCCTCCTCAAGTGTCTTCATAGCCAACGATTCTAGTGCGCAAAATGCTCCCAGGTCTATTGAAACCTCGCTCCAAACTACACATTGTAGTCATAGACGTGCACACTGTGTCAAATTGACCAACAGGCTTCCTTGGCTAAAACCCCAGAATCTCGTACCATTGATGTTTGTTGTGTCTCTAAAACGCACGTACAGGATCCTAGTGTGGTCATTCACTTGAATTCACCTCGCCAAAACGGACAGCCAACGAGATACGCCCTCCATGTGTCTGGCGACTCGATGGCTAGTTCTCGTGGACTGGAAGGTGTAGGCATAGCACTGAGTACGAGGGCAGAACAAGCACTATTAGAGTGGATCCCCGTTGACAGTCGTCTATGTACTTCTCGGCTAGACGGCTCCGTAAGGACTCGAAAGGATAGGGACAGATGTCATTACCTTTTCATCGTTTCTTCCTACGCTCTCACTGACTGCAGCTGGGATGAAGTGAAATATGATTTATAACATCTAAAATAATAGCCTCAATAATTATCGGACGTCTAACTAACACTCGTGATCTGCAAACACGAGAAAATCAGGCTGGCTTCAGACCTGGTCGTGGCTGCATCGACCACATATCCACCGTTCGCCAGGTTTTAGAACACAGGCATGCTTATTTATTTATTTGAACACAAATATTGGTACAAGAGGGCACCAAATACATATGCGCCACACAAAACAATGAGAATGTGAAGGGAAAAAAAGAAGGTAAGGAGCGTAAAAAAAAGAAGGACAATAACAAACAGATTAGTGTAAGGTAGTGTAACGATAATAATAATAATAATAATAATAGTGACAATAGTAATAATAACAACGGGAGGGGGAAACGGAAAGGTACAACCGGAAATCTTTCAGTTGGGGAAGATACAACAACTTTTCATGAAGAAAGCAAACGAAGATTACAGCAGGATCGCCACTGACTTTTATTCTGAGCCATATCTGATAACTTATCTAGCCACTGTGTTGCACCATCTCTCGGACCCCAGCCAGGAAGTGAAGGACCAACAGATGCCAGTCCTGTGCAGATTTCTTTCATACCCCGACACCATGTCATACACTGACCACCTCTCCGCTTTTTCCAACCAGTCCCAGTGTCGGCAAATAATGCAAGACGTGGAATTCTCTGGGACGACATTCGTAGAACATGTCCAAGCCACCAAAGTCGGTGTTTCAAGATAGTGACACCAGTTGGATTATCGTCTCTGCGCCCAAACACACGATGCCGAACCTCTGCATTACTAACATGGTGTTGCCACTGGATGTCAGCAATCCTTCGGAGACAAACGATGATCAAACACGGAGAGTCGTCTAACATCCTCAACTCGGAGAGGCCAGGTTTCACAAGCATAGAGCAGAACTGCTCTCCCCGATGCGTTGTAGATCCGACCTTTTACAGCCAGACTAACATCACGAAGACGCCAAAGATGGCCCAGATTGGCATAAGCCGCTCTGGCTTTCACTATACGTGCATTGACCTCATCACTCACGCCACCACCAGCACTTATGCAGCTACCTAGATATACGAACTTCTCGACTACTTCTATCTGCTCACCATCCAGGGTGAGTACAGGATTAGAATACTGCCAGTCTTGTAGAAGTCACTTTGCACTTCGAAGGTGCGAAGCACATATCGTACCTACGGACACTGATTGCCAACTGCCTAAGTGCGGATTGCATGGCTTGGGCATTATCGCACACCACCATTACTTACATCCATCAGAGCTGTTTCCAGAATGTCATCGATGGCAAAGATGAAGAGGAATGGTGAGATTGGGCAACCCTGTCTAACACCACTGCTTGAATTGATCAATGGAGAAAGGTGGTTGTATGCCCTCACTCTGCCTGAGGTGTTTGTATATAGGGATTTTAGGTTGCTAATAAACTTCTCAGACACACCCTTCTTCAGTAGAGAATCCCAGAGAACAGACCTATCCAACGAATCGAAGACAGCCCTGATGTCAAGAAACACTACGATTGTTGGCCTTTGAAAAGTATGGCGGTGTTCTAACAGTTGGCGGAGAGTGAAGATATGAGCAATATATCCTCGACCAGGACGAAATCTAGCCTGCTCCTCGCGAGTCAATCTCCCTCGGGTTTTGAACAACCTACGAAGTATGACGGAAGCCAATAGCTTGGATGCAATCGGAAGTCGACTTATCCCCCGATAGTTGTTACAGAAACGACGTGAACCCTTTTTATAGATAGGAACAACTATTAACTCATTCCATGACGTTGGAACACTCTCTAGCTCCCAGACCTTTGTAAACAACGTCGTCAATTCCGTAGTCAGAAAGTCACCACCATCTTTAAAAACAGCCGGAGGTAAGTCATCTGGGCCAGGTGATTTGTAGCGTTTCAATAGTTGGAGTTCCTTGCGGACTTCCGCCTCATTTGGTGGATCAGTCGTCACAGGTCATGGAGGGTAGGACAGTCTGACCGATGTCGCCCGAGCAGCTGGACAGTTAAACCGCCCTTCGAAGGATTCTACCCACCGTCCAAGACGTCAATGGATGTTAGTGATTGGCATCTCGTCATCCTCACAGATTGTTTCGCTCACACCAGACTTCTTGCTGCCAGTGGCTCGGATGAGTTGTAAGAGCTTTCGGCAGTTACCAGATGCAGCTGCTGCTTCCAGTTCATTAGCACGCTCTGACCACCAGGCTTCTCGGTCCTTACGCAAGCTTTACCCAATATCATTACGTAAACATCCTTCGTTTGTGGTCAAACTCACGGTCACCCGGAGTAGACCAACGGGCGTCGATGAGTTGTAAGGAGCCTGAAGAAACCCAGTGCTTATAAGCGGGACGTTTCGCGAACCCACAACTAACTGTATCCGCCATTTTCATGGCGTCATGCAATTGCAACCAATACTCATCTATATTTTTCGGTGGAATGGTAGCTAGCCTAGAAGCTAGCTCGGTTTGATACTTAATTGCAACAGAAGTTGCATGCTTATCGGAGTCCAATACAGGAACTTCTAGACTACTTCTATCTGTTTACTGCAGGTTCAAGCTCCTGCTAGACTTGTAAAATTACTTTGCACTTAGAAGGTGCAAAACACATGCCATACCTATGGACATTAATTGCGGATTGAATGGTTCGGGTATCATCGCACAGTAATACTGCAATGTCATTTCTGAAATTATTATAGACACCCGTCTTTCTGTAGTTCAGAGATTTTTACGCTTGTCGCTATTGATGGGGTTATTTCCCTTTTAAAATTATTCTTCATTTAAACTCACTAATTAGGTCCAAACATTAATTCTCTACTGTTTTTTCCACAGACTTGGACGCAATAATAGTCATGCTTACTTCTACTCCGGATACGCAGCCTATATCGTTGCTATCATAATGACTTTCGTAATGATGCACGTATTCAAGCACGCTCAGGTGAGCGAACAGTTTTTGAGTTTTCGTTTCAGAGTAAAGTTTCTCACATTTGTTCTACGTAATAAACAAAAAAGCTATTGTAATGTTTACCCTGAATATGTTTTCGGTCAGAGGGATTGTCAAACTATTCAAAGTAATATCCTGGCATGGAAAGTATTTACATGTATATTATTTAATTCCTTACGCAAGCTTTGCCCAATTTCATTACGTAACAGCCTTCGTTTGTGGTCAAACTCACGGTCACCCGGAGTAGACCGACGGGCGTCGATGGGTTGTAAAGAGTCCGTATAAACCCAGCGCTTATAAGTGGGAAGCTTCGTGAAGCTGCAGGCGACTATATTCGCCATTTCCATGGCGTCATGTAAATGTAGCCAGTGCTCATCTATACTCTTCGGTGGATTGATGGCTAGCCTTGAACCTAACTCGGTTTGATATTTAATTGCAACAGAAGCTGCAATCGGTTTACTGATATCAATCCGTTTAGGACGATGAATTTGTTGGCCACTGAAACGTAAGATAAGATTGGCGCAAACAAGGGCATGATGAGAATCCAGATAGGTACTCCAAAAGGAGCGGTAGTCTTGTACACGGCCATGCCAGCAATAGCTGATCGCGACGTGATCAATCTAAGTCCAGGTTTAAGACATAGATGGAGGACACCAAGTCGCACGTCGGCGATGACTGCCGAAAGTTTGTGCTAACCAGAAACAGGTAATCTGTGCAAAGTTGAAGTAGTCAATTGTCGTTATTTGATCTGCGACCAACGAGTCCCTATCGGCCACCTAAACGACTCTCTTTTGTGCCTAGAGGCCTAACCTGAGCATTCAAGTCTCCGGCTAGTACTACGATATTTCTCGGACTCACTTTCCGAAGAAGAACAGTTAACTGGTGGTAAACTTCACCATTGATGGAAGGCTAGAATTTCAATGACTGTAAAGAGTCGAATATTTCAATGTGAAAAATTAGTTCGAACATAGAGTATCCTAAATTTATTCTCCGTGTTTCCAAAGTTTTCAGATATTGATTAGGATTACGTGTTTATGATTGTACATATAATGCAAGATAAATAATACAAAACGAGTTAAGAAAAGCAATCATAGGTGATTTGACAGGTTATATGACAAATATTCAGTTAGTATTTATGCAATACATATAAAGTAGATGTAATAAATGGAGAAAACGCATCTTAAGGTTCACTAGTATAAAGACTATGTTAGACTCAATAATGGTCACAAGTCTACGGTTTGTGAACGTCAATATGTGTACTAGATTCTACTTTGTGACTGACTAATTGACTTCAGTACCATCCATTTTATCTGAATAATTTCACCAAAAATCTAAATTACTCTTAAACTTTTCCGTAGTATTATCATCATTCACTGAAAAGATTCATTGATTGTTATGATCCATTTCAGGATTGTATTTCGTGTAGAATAAGTAGTATGTATTGTTTTTATCCTATTCCATCATGTTTTGTCCGTAGCAGGGGATTTATTTTTTAGGAAATATTAGCCTTTATATCCGGTTATTCTAGCTTCCTTATTTTAAAATTATTCCACACTTTCTGTTTGCAGATTTCTATTGGAGTAAAACTTCTGTTATATAAATAACTATGTTTACTGCCTTTTCATTAATCTAGCCGGCTTTACTTTACCTGGTACCTGCTTGTTTGGGTGCACCATTGCTTATGGCTTTAGTGAAAAATGATCTTAGTGCAATGTTCAAGTGAGTTCCTGTTCTGATGTTTTTTCCTAGCAGACAAACCTTTCAGCTTTTTTTCATATTGTCAATACATTCCAATCTATAATCTAATTGTTGTAAAAAAATTTTATAAGCTTCTCATTGGAAGTGATTTAACAAGACTGACCTATCGTATATTGTAATATTATTTTTGTTTGATAGATGCACATAGTCATACAACGGTGTAGGCTACTTATGTTGACAGATATAAGTAGTATATAGCAGCAGTCGGAAGTAAAATGCCTGCCAGTAGAAGATTGAATTGAAGAGAACATGAAGGGAAACGGAGAGCAATTGTGATTACAACAGGATTAGAGGGATAATGGAGTGTAGAAAGGATAACGCAAAGAAGATGCGCAAATGATGTATTTCACATTTTACTAAGCCACTGTGTAATTTTGCATCAAACAATAAATTGGTTTTCCCAACATGAGTTCTCGTTCACTACAGTAATGTGTAGCCACTTGTCTAGGAAATGTTGGTGAGCAAAAAAGATAAAATGTGAATGTATTTGACACTAAATTCAACATATTTCAAGGTATATCTTCTGGTGTCTTTACTTCCTGATTTTAAACATTATACCTATGTAGCGAAAGTAAAAATAAATGAATAATTAGTGCATTTAATGAATGTTAGTTTTAGGAACTTGGTTGCATTGACTTTTATTCACAATGGAATAATGTTCTGTTATCACTGATAATAACTCTGTCATCTCTATACAGATAGCAAACTTAATTGATTTATCTGCACAATTTATGCACAATATACTGCTTAAAAATGTAAAATATTAAGTCGTTAATATTGGCTAATTAAGCAGGCACGTAATACAAGTTAATAAGTAATCTGATGATGATGTTTGTGTATATGTGACTATCACCATATGCACAAGATATTTATTTGTTCTAGCAAAAACTAAGCTAAGGTCATCAGTTGTTAAACCATAAATCTAATTATACATTTCCAAAAATCGATATAGTGGGATGATTGAAATGCTCGTTTTCTGACAACTAAATTTAGTAAGATATTTTCTACATTTTTGTCTTAATCTTCTCGTTGGTTTGTTTAAATCGTTGCTTACTTTATCTTATTTTAACGTGAGGAACTGCTACACCTCGGAAGTGTATTTACATAACCTAAGTTCTTTATTGTATACATGTGTCAGAACTACTTGAATTAAGTACTAAGTAGGAATTATCTCTAAAGCTGTTATTTTTTTATAATTAGTATGAATAACCACGCAAGTTAGATTAAATCATCATCGAAACCTCAGTCAGTTGTTAACAATGTAGATCCTGGAACAAATGTGCATTGGTCTAAGATGCCATATCACGTTAACACAGTGAGATGAAATTAACACGAGGATACAATATATAATAATTTAGTAGTAAATATAACGAGAAGGATTAAGCATTAATAATATTCGGGACAAAATACAATAGTATGTAAGAAGGGATACTAAAACTTGAGATCGAAAAGATGAAAAGTAAATGCACGCTAACGTATGCTAAGCCAAATCACCCGACTTCTGATCGAAATATATTTATGAGGCATAATCCATAAGATGTATAGTCATCAACTGTAATTGGATTATATTATTATTTTCAAAATATGGTAGACTAGTTTATTCAATTTTTTTTCTAGCTATGAAGATGAACCGGAAGCTGAGAAGAAAATTCAGGAGGCTGATGTGTCAAACAAATCTAAGAAAAGTAAATAACAATATCAACCTTTGGGGTGGGGGCAATTGACCGATTTTATCATCTTAATCTATCCATATATAACTTATGTACACAAATATATTTATTTCTACAGTGTTAAGTATGTAACGTTTGTGCTACGTGCTGACTGTTTGTTTTGTTTTCTGTAAAATAATGTTGGCGAAAAACCCTAACATAACTTGTTCGTTTAACATTTGTTTTAACCTTGTCGCTTTGCTAATAAAGCTGTTACGCTGTCTGTTTATTTTGTGACATCAATATCCAAAGTCTAAACATCATAAAAAGTGAAATACCAAAATATGTGAACATTATTGGCGAGCAATCAAGGTTACTTCTTCAGATAATCATTTTCACTTTATGAATACATATTTAAAATAATATCCTGATTGTTTTGACAGTGCTAATAATAAATTCCATTCTAAATTATACTTTACTTTAAATGCCGATGTATTTGTATGAGTGGTGGCAACTGACAACATTTTAGCGCATTGCATTTTATGTCCATAAGTTGAAATAAAATTGGGGATCACAGATTAGTTACCGAAGTAATGATACGTTGTCTATGCAAATTCCCGGTGAACTTTCGACGAAACCATTATACCTGATACGGCATGAGAATCTCCTTGGAGTTTATGTTTAAATGTGAAATGTTAAGTAGATATTACTCGGTAGATCTCTTTCTTTCCATTTAATTAGGCACGGGTATCTTAAACTTTCTAGAACTCTTGTTGGATACGCCATGCTTTGATTACTTAAGCCACGAAGCCTAGTGAGGTAAGTCTATTTTCAAACATCTTACAATTAAGAAATAGACAGTGATGTGTGCTAGCGTAAATCTTCCTATGTAACAACTCATTGAATTATTTGCTTCGAAACGTAGGTACAAGGATTAAACTGTTAATGTTAAAGAGCTACAAGTAAGATTTTTTGTTTCTGGATTTGACGAAACTGTATGACTACACTTAATTGTACGACGGTTTACTCGACAAGTAGGTATCAGTAACAAGATGTATTAACAAAAAAAAACAGTGGAAAGGTGTTATTCACATTATTAATAATCCAGTATGTGATACATCCGTCTGTCTGTTTTCACTGACTGACCAGCTATAACTCATATTGTCCAGGTACACCAATAGTCTGAATTAATTCATGTCCTTGTATTCTGGTCAGTTTAGTTTCTTATCCTATTCAAACTTGTATTCAAGCAGAATAGAGGGTGGTAGTAAATTCTTGTTGCCATTTCCAACTAGCTTTGCATGTCAGGATTTGTTGTAGTTTAACGCACAAAGTAAGTACGTAACACCAGATAGTTTGGCATTATAATTTGTCAGAAATGAAATTTCATCTTGCTCCCAGGGATATTTGTGTTTACTCATTCTATACTGTAGGCGAGTGATAAAGACAGTCTCAGTACTTGTTTCCCAATAGCAATTTCAACTCCTGAGGATAATTCGTTTATGCTTCAAGGATAATACCTAACTGACTGGTTTCAAACAGTACTCTACGTCGTACAACAACTACCATATTGTTAGCAACCAGTTTATTTTGAGGAAGGGTGTACTTTTTCAATTGATGTGCTAATGGGGTATAATTACAAGACACTAACTTGATGTTTCTCATGTGCCGCACGACATAAACGCAAACTATGTAGACCTTTTGAGTTCTGTTTTGGCACCTCGGCAGTACCTAATCCACACACTAATCAGAATAGAAAAGAATTACCTTCGCTTCAATTCGCGTCCTCACAAATTGTATTTACAATTATTTGGTAACACTAGTTTATATAACTTGTTAGTTCTCTTTTATTCCCATTTTGTCTATCCCTTTAATTTTCAACTCATACAGCAGGCCACCTATGTTGCGAGTCCTGTCCTATCTAGATTTCCTTAGGTCGTTGTTTGGTCGAAAGTTGAATACAACCAACGATGATTCTTAATCAGTCTTTCTAAAACCACATTATTCATTCAAACTGGACTCTTCCAACGTTCGGACACCAATATAGGTTGGACAACAGATAGGGTGGCTATGTCTTTAGAAAGTCTTAACATGGACGTCTGTTGCCTATCCGTATCCAAGACTTTAGTGAGGTACCACAAGTTCACTCTCCATTTGTCGCTTGGAGAAGGTCGTTTCAAGTATGTATTTAAAAGGACTCTGTGGAATCTTGATGAGTTTTAACACCAACTAAGTGTTGTTCAACAGATATCGTAGTACTAGCCGGAGACTTGAATGCTCAGGTTAGGCCTCTAGGCACAAAAGAGAGTCGTTTAGGTGGCCGATAGGGACTCGTTGGTCGCAGATCAAATAACGACAATTGACTACTTCAACTTTGCACAGATTACCTGTTTCTGGTTAGCACAAACTTTCGGCAGTCATCGCCGACGTGCGACTTGGTGTCCTCCATCTATGTCTTAAACCTGGACTTAGATTGATCACGTCGCGATCAGCTATTGCTGGCATGGCCGTGTACAAGACTACCGCTCCTTTTGGAGTACCTATCTGGATTCTCATCATGCCCTTGTTTGCGCCAATCTTATCTTACGTTTCAGTGGCCAACAAATTCATCGTCCTAAACGGATTGATATCAGTAAACCGATTGCAGCTTCTGTTGCAATTAAATATCAAACCGAGTTAGGTTCAAGGCTAGCCATCAATCCACCGAAGAGTATAGATGAGCACTGGCTACATTTACATGACGCCATGGAAATGGCGAATATAGTCGCCTGCAGCTTCACGAAGCTTCCCACTTATAAGCGCTGGGTTTATACAGACTCTTTACAACTCATTGAGATACGTCGGCCTACTCCCGCTAACCGCAAATTTTACGATAAACGTAGATTACTACGTAATGAAGTGCGAGCTCATCAATACCCGAGCTAGTGCTTTCCATGAACCAATGGTACAGCGTGACAAGTGCATAGGTTGATACCATGACGTTTAAATGAAATTTACGAGTGTGCTGTATAAGAAGTCCAATAACATGGGATACAAAAAGCTCTGACAACAATGGTGTTCAGAAATGTTCGGTCTCCCACTTAACAGACATTCAACTTTTAAATGTACTTAAGGAACACGTAACAAACAAAAATATTCCGGATCTCAGAATACAGTTAAACTATGTCAGTTGGCAAGAAGATCTATAAACTAGTAATTAATGCAGCTCCTAAAGAGAGAAGAGCAAAATCGGAATATCAAGATAGATTACCTCTTGAAAAGATTAATTGAAATAAAAAGCAATGTCATTATCATCAGGATATTGGATTCAATACAGTAAGTAGTCAGTTTGTCGAAGACGGCCAGTTCTCGGCAGAACAGACTTCAACGTATCGTAAGGGCAGAATCAGATCAGAGATAAATTTTGGTAAATCCAATGAATAATTTGGACGGGACATTGGTTTTCACTCCTGAAAAGACTGAGTACAAGTGTCAAGAATATAAATTCCCCATTCACTAAAGATACGGTTTAGATCTGATCGAGAACTGACCATTTAAAAAGGTCAAGTGCCTTTCATAGGGTCAATTAAAACTTTCAGCTTGAAACTTGTTTTCAGCATCAAGAATGTATCGTAAAATGTCTTCTAAACTGTTTTCCCCAAATGTCAGCTAGTCTGGAACATACAGAAAGTATGCAATAACGATCTAATGTACGGGCGATCGAGGCAATGGAAAAGTTGGTGGATAAAATTAAAGTGCAAATAAATACTATGGATCAAGATTTCATGACTGTAAGGACCTATCACTTGTCGTATAAAGAACGATAAAGCTAAATATATGTTTAGAAGCAGATGAAAGGTATCACAAATTAACGAGTTTCTGATGTGTCAGGCTTCCAGAATGGATGGTCCCGAAAATTCTCTGGGCGCGGTACAAGGTATTTAGGCTCTTCACATCAATCCTCGAACTTTGCTTAATAAAAGACCGGAGAGAGGACCCTAACTGACTCACAGGTTGAATACAACCGTAATAACAGAAACTTTGCTAACTCAGTCCATGGATAACAGCGAGGTTGGTTTCAAGAAGTCAATAGAATTGTTACTACATTCCAATTAGACCCCCAAATGCCCTGGTACGGCCGAGAGTAGGGAAAGTCCGCTCTCCCTCTCGAAATACTCTCACACGGCCACGCGTATACAGCCTCTTTTATACTTATACAGCGGCTCGTCTTTGGTGGAAATTTGACTCTAAACGTTCTCGAGTCACTGTCCGGTTGAAAATTGTATATTACCACTGAATATGAGTACTCAAGCAGTTTTTCTGAAACCACGTGCACCATTCAAACTGGCTGCCTTCAACGTTCGCACACTTATGCAGGTTGGACAACAGATAGGGCCGGCTATTTCTTTGGAAAGTCTTAATATCGATGTCTGCTGTCTATCCGAGACCCGTATTCAAGACTCTGGTGAAGTACTACAAATTCGCTCTCCATCTGTCGCTTCAAAAAGCTTGTTTTACGTGCACTTATCCGGGGACCCTGTGGCATCTTCGTCTGGTCTTGCTGGCGTTAGTGTTGCACTGAGCGCTAGAGCTGGAGCAGCAGTAATCGATTGGATCCCCATTAACAGTCGGTTATGTGCTGTTAGATTAGAAAGTTCCATCAAAAAAAGAAGAAATCGGCGGGAGAGACGATGTCTTTTCGTCATCTCCGCCTATGCCCCGACAGATTGCAGCCCGGATGCAATCAAGGATGAATTTTACCACCAGTTATCTGTTCTTCTCCAGAAAGTGCGTTCGACAGATATTGTAGCACTAGCCGGAGACTTGAATGTTCAGGTCGGGCGTCTAGGCACAGAAGAGAGTCGTTTAGGTGGCCGATGGGGACTTGTTGGTGGCAGGTCAGATAACGGGGACCGTCTACTGCAACTGTGCACAGACCACAACCTGTTTCCGGCTAGCACTAACTTTCGGCACAGTCATCGCCGATGTGCCACCTGGCGTCCTCCCTCTGCCTGGACTCAGACCGATCACATCGCGATCAGCTACCGCTGACGTGGTTGTGTAC